TATTTCGTCACCATTCTTGCCTATATCTACTTTTGTTTCAAACGCTGTGAACATTGCTCATCACGCGACTGCTATCCCGCTTACATGGTGGTAGTGGTGCCCAGCCGAAATGGCCACATCCCCAGCCTTTTTGCGTCAACAATCTTGCTGTCGCCGAAGCCGCTGGACAGATCGGGCAACACCTGGCTTGCATAAAAAGCTTGGAAGAGTGAGTTTACTTTGTACTCCACTGCAACAAATTTGACAAAACAAGCGAAAAAAGTGCAATCAGCCACGTTGCTATAGTGATTATTGTCGAAGAGGCAAGGAAGGTTTCGACCTCTTCAGCCTCAAACGTGAAAGTTTGAGGCTGAAGAGGTCGAAAATAACGTAGACGTCCTAACTGCTAATTTAAGAGTTGTATAAGCCGGAAACTAATTTGACCTATCATAAATTTCTATTTGGGTCCAGAAACCAAAGCGAAGGCTAACATTTAAATGAGTCATTTACGAAGCTAGAAACGTTAGCCACAATCTGTGAATTCGGGTTAATAGAAGATCAGATCCTGCACAGCCGTATTGTTCTGGGTATTCAAGACAAGAACCTGCAGCAGATAATTGATTTCGGAAAGCCCCTCGTACAAGAAGACTATCCAAATTTGTCGCAAACAAGAGCAAGGAAAAGAGCAGTTTCTTGAAATCAAAGAAGCCGCGGGGATGGTGCAGGACACAGCACTTGACGCTGTCGAAAAGAAAGGGGATGTCAGCGGCAGCTGCGGCTATCGTGGACACCACGGTGAAAGACGCCTCGCTATTGGTAAAACCTTGGCTAGGTCAGTCAGCTGGTATACCCCCCAGGTAAGTGATAATTGCCTCACTATAGCACTAATTTATTTGTCTCCTTGTGTTTAGTAGGCCAAATTTTAAAACTAAAAAACAATAAAAAAATGCTGCTGCGGCTATGGCAACGTTTATGTAGGTGAAAGAGGAGGAAACACCGAGCGGCTTTGTCGTCTGCTATGCGCTCCACGGGCGCGCAGCTTCCGTGTCAGCCGCAAGCAGAAAACAGCACCACTTGCGTTGTGTTTTTTCAGGTTGCGTTACTGCTGCATATTAGGTTTTGCCAACTTTTGGTCACAAGTTTTTTGGACTTTCAGCACGTCCACGAAACATGTGTTTGGAAATATTTCTCCGTTTAGTGCGCGCGAGGCCACAAGTCTTTACGCGTCACAAATTTTGTATGGGCAAGAAAGGAGTAGTCGGAAAGTGAGATTGATTGATATGTGGGGTTTAACGTTCAAAAGCCACCAAATGATTATGAGAGACGCCGTAGTGGAGGGCTCCGGAAATTTCATCCACCCGGGGTTCTTCAACGTGCACCCGAATCTGAGCACACGGGCCTAAAACATTTAGGCCTCCATCGGAAATGCAGCCGCCGCAGCCGGGATTTCAACCCGCGACCTGCGGGTCAGCAGCCGAGTACCTTAGCCACTAGACCACCGTGGCGGCGCGTCGGAAAGTGTGGTTATTGCGCTAATTTTATTAGCAACATATTGCAAAAAGTAAAACTCTATACACGCCACAATAACACAGACTTGTTTATCTCGCGTAATAATTACAAATGTTCACATTCTGCACCGTTAACATCAACGTAAGAGAAGTATTCACACAGGTCATCGTATGTAGAATATCGCTACTAGGTTCCTCACGTTCATTGGCTGTAAATTACACAATTCTCCAGAAAGGATAGTCATAAGAACATATTCAAGTCCATGAATATTGGGCTCATCATGCAGTGCAGATGACCAACACATTGAGCCCAACCCTACCAGCTTCTTTTACTTTTTCTGTGAAACTTGCTAGACGAAATAACCATCTATAGCAAGCGAAATCACTACATAACTGAGGTTGTGCTTGAACCGTTACATACTGAGCAAATTTTTTTTGAGATTTTAACATGTGACTTAATTACTCGACGCACGTTAAACCCCACAAATCAATCAATCAATCAATTACTCGACGCATCGCATAAACCATCGTTAAAAGCTGTAGCATTGCTAACAGGGCATCATTACAGTTTTTACACCAGTGTACTGCAGTTATTCGTCGCAATTTGTAATGCACATATTTTATTACAGTTAGGCCTGAGTATCACAATCCTACATCAAACATGAAATGTCATCTTGCAGACAGATAAAAAGTAAATGCAGTATAGGCAAGTGTAGATGGTTAATCGTCGGTAGTATTTGGACTAGGAAAGAGTGATGCGCAAAAATATCACGGAATAGGCACCTTCTGGAAATAGAGAAACGTTCGCAAAAGTAATTCAGATCGACATCTTAAAATGAATCAGCCTGGGTAGATAACTCGGAGCTAGTCTGTTCTGACTGGTTGTCAGGACATGCCTCAAAGTTGCCTTAATCGTATCAAGTATTTTCATTTAAAGAGCTTATAAGCTCAGCTTCGTGCGTCATGTTAGATGCGTAGGACAATTTTGTGCAGTACTATTAGTTTTGTAATTTACTGCAGGTAATTTGACATTTGACTCTGAAGCCGCCTTAACAAACTGGTGAAAGCCCCCTTCCCCAAACTTTTTGTGGCACTTGGATTTAGCACAGGATGTTTTCTTGACTTGGTAAAATATTTCTGGCTTTTCTAGAACGTGCTTCGTCCTAATTTGACATTAAAATAGAGGTGTTCGTGGCGACAATGCCAAGTAGTATTAGTGCTTGTGCAACTTCACAGCATCAAGGACAAGATCTCAAATTCTTCGTATCGCAATAGTGAATTATGGAGCAAATGGGTAAGCTGTGAATATCTGCCAAAAAAAAACAATTCCTTGTACGCTATTTGCGCAGACACAGAAATGCGCTTGAGTGCGTTATAAAATATCATATTCAAAAGAATACCTAAAGAGACGCTGCACTTTAAAAGGTAAGCTCCTAGGAAGACATTTTTTTCTAATTTTGAAGCTTCTGGAGCTTCCTTTTTGCAGCGGACTTTCTCTCGCGCCGTTTTTTTAAGGGCCCGATTTATGTAATTTATGTGCAGCATCAGCCGTGAATAGGAAAGGGGCCGCAGCAGGTCCAAGTGACACCTTTCAGAGAAAAATATTTCTTTGGACAGACCATTGTTTAGCTTATCTTTTAGCACAGTAGTCACGCAGCACAAATGCGTGACCACACCTATATGTTCGACAAACCATTTCTTCATGTCATTCACCACCTCAAAAAAACCAACAGAAGGCAGCAAAAAAATGACGCCTTCTTTATCATAAGACTGAAGCATGGCTAAAGTTTGGTGGGAACCTCAGAATGACCGATCACCACTCCTTAGGAATGGGTCAGATACAATCGGCTGGCCTATTCTGAAGAAAACGCTGCGCGATGTAGCCCGCAAAACAATACAAAGCATTCTCTTCCGTGATGTCAAGGAGATCGTCACCTGAGGTCTCGCTTGAGAAAAGCGTTTCTGTTATCACTTCAGCTCGAGGCTCAACTAAGGACAGACGTGCAAGTAGGTACAAATCCACAGCTTGAAAATTCCCGTGTGATGACAGGTTTGACAGTTTCCCAACAAAAATGTGTTTCAACGCAGCAATAAATTGAAACACATTTGAATGCTCATTGCAGTCATCCTTCTTCCTCTAAGTGCTGAATCGATTTTCTAGTAAACTTGCTGGAGGCCACGAGTCAGGAGGCAAGTTAAGTTAAAATTTTTATGAAAGTCACAACATAAGGACACCCTGTATGATGACTAGCCAGCTACGAATAGTGTGCGGCGGCCTAGAGCTGTCAAATGTCGATTTTATTGTCTCTCGTGAAAAAGCCAGGTGCTCGGAGGTGGCACTTAGAGGATAATTTATTTTACCAGAAAAACTGACAGTGGCAGTTTTGGTATTGAAGCAGTAAATAGCTTGCCCATCTGTTCTATTGAATCTGCAGGAAATTTTGCCGTTGCAGGTAGCTTACCAAGTGCAATCACTGTCACTGCTATTGACTCACTCAGGACATTCGCCGCGAACGTGACCTTTATACTGTTGAAATTTGTCATGTAGATAAAAACAAATGTTAATTTTCTTGCCGATTTCACTTCAAGCGGGTCAGAGCACTCGTATACAGTTCACAAATGTAGCTCCAGTCCACAATTTTTGTGCCCAAAAATTGCGTGAAAGGTGCTTGAAGGCTATTTTTTGTGCACTTTGAAAGGTGTCTCTCGAAGAATAAACTTTCTGCCGTACCTTATCCACTTCTGCCGAGTACCTTATCCACTAGACCACCATGGCGGGGCCTAAGGAATCTTCCTAAGGGCTCCCCCAAAGTTAAACAAGAGTTGGTGTCGCCTATGCTTTCCTTGACCTAATATTCTGATGAATTCATTCGACCGTGACTATGAGAAAGAAACGAGCCCCACTCTAAGTTTCCTTCCCTCACAAAAACAAAAGCCCTGTAACTCATGTAATACTATGGTGCACCCAAGGTTGGGTAGACGTAGCTAATGCAGAGGGCCAACTATTGCACAATGCTTTCGCGGCTACGATCGACCACATACAAAAGTTCATTATGACAAAGAGGGTCTTTAGAACAACTATTTGGTCTATGACCAGTAATGAGAACGTGACAGTCAAATTCGTATAAAAGAATGCACCGCAAGATAACATGACTCATGTGACACGAACGTCTTCCCTTCATTAGTGCTCAGAGGAGCGTGGAGGGAACTTAAACAGCAGCCTCTTGTACGAATGAACGGTGTTTCGAATAGATCAGCACAAAACTGAAGGTTCGTGCATTTTTTTGCGAGATGCCTTCCTCTTCACACCTATAACGCAACCACATAGCCACCATTGTCTCTTTTTTCCCCTCGCCTCTACCATCGCCCTGTGCAGCTTTCATTGTTTGTCTCGGGGAGAAGGTGCTTCGCTGAACGAAATACAGCGTAGTGCTACACGGTGTATGCGTGTCTCAAGAAAGAAAAAAAGGCAGTTTTAAGCCTGCGCACGCACCGCCAAAAGTAAACTACATCAGTCCCGACAGGAAGAGCAGCCACGAACGCTGAATAGGCCATGTCTGCAGACGAGAAGATGACCACCACGTCGGCTTTCCCACCGAAAGCGACAGTGGTGCTGGCAGTACTGGTCGCTGCTCTTCTCGCAAAGATCGTCGTGGCCGTAGCCAGGTGGATGCGCATGTACTGGTACCTGCGCAATGTACCCCATCCCGAGCAACGTTGGCCATTCTCACTCGTCATCGACATGTGGCAGAGCCTGTCCAAAATGGACCCGAATCTGGCAGTGACAGCAAGTAAGAAACAAAAATCCAGCAGTTGAACCCGTCTTGTCGAAAAGCCCGCGGATGCAATTTGACGCGTTCTCTGGTGGTGTGCGCTGAACGCACGTAACCTCACGCGAGTGTACCACCTGTGATTTCTGACGAGAACACCTGACTTGATAGAGTAACTTTCCCCTCATTCCAAAATTAACTGAATCGTACTTATATTTAGTGTGCCATATTGATGAGTGGCTTCTTTTTTCGCGACAAATGTGTTGGAAGAACGCGTGTTCTACTCAGTGTTGGCGGTAACGCGTTGCAAGTAACGCCATTACCGGTCACGAGTTACTTTTTTTGGTAACTTAGTAACATACTAGTTAATATTTCGGAACTGTTACGGCTAACGTACTTACGTTATCATTTATCAATGACGCGTGGTGCCATGTAACGCGTTACTCTTTCATTTATAGGCGCCATTTTGCTAGAGCTCTCCCAAACTAATTTTTTTGTTGTTGTTGTTGTAGCCGGCTGGTGACTCGCAAGTTGCGGGATCGAATGTCGGTTGTGGCGGCTGCATATTCGATGGAGGCGAAAATGCTAGAGGCCTGTGTGCTCAGATTTAAGTGCACGTTAAAGAACCCAAGGTAGTGGAAATTTCCGGAGCCCTTCACTATGTCGTCTCTCACAATCATACGGTGGCTTTGGGACGGTAAAACCCACATATCAATCAATCAACCTTTTGTTCTAGCGCCAGATTGCTGCCTGCTTGTCAGGCACGACCCAAAAAGCACCCGCGTAATCTCTTTGTTTTTTGTGGAAATCGAGGGTATAAATTCTTTAAGACGCGCCGACTCACTGTGAGAAGGGTTGGGCCATCTCCAAGCTTGGGCTTGGAGAAAGGTTTCGAATCCGCCATGATGAAATTTGCGGACATGCTTTCGTGGAAGTGGACTGTAGCTGGTGGTTTGCTGGCACTTACGCTTTTCCGCGCCCAAAGGACAGGCTGTCCGATGGGGAAGCGCATAATCTGGTTTACTGCATACCACGTGCTGATTGTGACTCTTCGTACGTGGGCGAAGCAGTTTTGCGGAACTTACCCGAGAGCATGCGGCCACATTAAAACAACGTCTGCAAGTTTAACTGAAAAAGAAATGCACTCTCTCAGCACAGTGAGCGAACAACCACCACATCGAATTTGACAATTGCCACTTGGTCGACTTAGAGACCAATTACTATAAGCAGCTTTTTGTCGAATCCAGGCCCGTCCAGGAGACAGCGGGTAACTTCAACCGGCAGACAGGTGCACTGCCGATCAAGAGTCTGCCTCAATGAAAGATTTCACATCATACAGAATAGGCGTGTCCCCACGGCAGGAAGAAAAGCCTTATAAAGAATGTGACACGTGAACCGTTATATTTTATTCCTGCAGCGCAAAAAAGAGATAGCAAGAGAAAAAGAAATTGTCTTTTTTTTACTTAGTACTTTGATTGGCACCTTCAGTTTCAGCTACTAAAGCCCATTATTACAGCTGTCACACGAACACTTCACACGAACACTGTCACACTGTAGCTGTAACACTGTAGCTAGCTACCTGTAACCGCTGCCACACGAAAACTGTCACACAAAGCACGGTTACAGGTAGCTAGCTGCACGGCAGACATTATCGCAGTTTGTATTCTAGCCATGGTTATCGCAAACCAGTGATTCCATAACAGATCAACATGGATCTTAAACGCGATATTTTAGATTTAGAAGTATTTTAGAAGTATTTTATATTTCATGATCATGTCACCAAGTAGCCCGAAAAGCAACGTTGTTTTCTTTTCAAGTGCCTAGTCTACGAGACAAATAAATTATGAAACATATTCAACATTGCGAGGTCAATTTTGTTAGCCGTCGTTCTCGAACGTTGGCGAAGATGTAACCCAGAAATATTACCGTTACAAACAAGATTTCGTCTATGAAATATATTCGCGAAAATCAGTAAAGTAACATTGTCTCATACTCGTAAAACAAAGGATGGTACTTTTGAAAAATGTCGCAATGTGTAACATTTTATGATAGATGCTGTATAACAGTTGCTACAAAGTTTATTAGACTTATCAACTCTGTCTTGAAAACAAATGTTCCTTCTTTGTCTTTGCAACAGCAGCTACTTTCGAGTTATTGAACTCCTTGTGGCTATGAAAAATTTGTGCGAAGGGCGAAAGGTAAAACAATATTTTAAAATTTAAATGCAGCTTAGTGGAATTGATGTTCCGTGCAGAGAATTTTCCCTTTCTTCGGGAAATTCTGGTCTGTCCTTTTGAGCCGGATGGGAAAGGAAATCTTCGTGATACTGAAGAAAATTTCTGGAATGGTTAAATTATTCTATGACGACCGATAATTAGTGGGCGCAGTGTGCCTTCATCTGCTGTATTTGGTTGTGACGCATGCAGAAGATGCAAGTATAGTCTTTGAGATTTGTTTCTGAAATTTTCGCGGAGCAATTTTTAGTTTTCTAGGGGTGTTAGACTTTAAGCCCACAATTTGCAGTGTACTAACAGTATATGGATTAAGAAAATCGTGCTTTCGTTGTGCGGCAGTGGGGGAGCTAGTCTTGATTTCAAAAGTCGCCAGTGCGTGAGACACGTGTAATTATAGTATGTGTGTGCGTAGGTGGGGGCAGAATTCATTACTTTTGTGCAGGAAATCGCGCTGGGAATTTTGTCAGCACTTGCATGGAAAAATCTCCAAAATAGAGAATTTTCATGTCTCTGAATGGGAATTCTCCGGCGCAGAACGGAACATCACTGCTTTGTGGGCGGCCTTCAGGCTCCTGAGCGAGCAAGGCTGAGTTAGGCATTCGTTCACTACTACAAAATTTTTGTATCAACTTTGCTAGTAGAAGCACGCTGTCAGAATAGGCCTTTTTCGGCGTAGATAGTCTGCCCACCCAGGCCGGCCTCGGTGATGCATGCGCCATGATTTTTACTGGCCAAAACAGGGTGACAGATGCTGACCAAGATACACCTCGTGTCACAAACTTGCGAAGGCACGTTTGCGACACCAGGGGCTGTATTCACAAAGCTTTGTCTTGGCTACGCATTTTCTTAGGCAAGCATTCTCTTTTCTCGACGGATTATGATAGCACGGGTACGAATTTAACTTACTCAGCACTTAGGAGGGTGAGGAAGACACACGAAAGCCGCTAAAACGACAAGAAAAAAACAAAGTGTGTGCCGGTGATAGCGAGATAGCACGCAAAGCGTCTAGCATCGACTTTATGCGATCATAGCCAATGATTTGCTGCACCTCAGCTTCCAGTTCCGCGGGCGTCTGCTACAGTGCCGAAGCCCGAAACATATGCAGCATGTTTTCGGCGTTTTCCCGGCGTCTGTGTCTGGGGGTCCTGCGTAAAGCCAAGCGCTCGCGTTTCATCAATGACCGTACATAAAAAAGTAATTCCTTGATGGCTTTAAGCAATAATCAGCGCGCTATCATGCCAAGTACCAAGGAGCAACACATTAAGTGCACCACATCAAAGAAACCACGCAAAAATCGATGCATGCAATGTTTGAATATGTGCCCAAAATTTATTCTTCTGTTTAAAGCGACCAATTAACTTACATTTTAAAGAAGCTGCCCTGCTACTCAACTAATCCGGCATAATCAAGCTCGGTGTAGTGGTGAACTTAAGGTTGTTTTATAGCTAAACGTAAAAGGTTTCCTTTCTTACAGTAATCTTATTACAATACACAAGAGCGGCTTTCGTGCCTGCGGACTAATTCTGCAGACATATAGAACAGCTGTAATCGAAGGAGATTGCGCGCGCAATTTCGCAGGTTCCATGCACCGCATCATTTTGATTATGCCGGAAATCGAGAAGGTGCATATGCTTATGCTTAAATATGTGTCTACGTAAAATGAGGGAGACTCATCGGGAGGGGTTTTGAGTGCTAATGTTTTCACAAAACCCGGTGCAGTTATTTCTTCTAGCGGTGTTTGCGTGAGCAAACCCAAAGCAAGGGACGTGTATGCCAGTCTTGAAGTAAAGAGACATTACCACATGCACGAAAAGGGCGAAAAGAGAGAAAGAGACTGTCATTTCGTCTCCGCGAAAGCCTGAAATTGAAGTGATAGATATTAAAGACGATTTTCTGGCCCAGCAGACGTCAGGGGAAGTTTCCGCAAAGCAGCGTCGAGTGCTTGAAGAGCATAAAAAAAGTGTGAAAGGTGTTTTATGGGAGCGACAGCCACACAGAAAGCGAGATGAAGTGTGAATGTCTGTATATGTGAGAAAAAACGATAATTATGAGGGTTGCGAGTTGATGAGCTACATACGTTTTAATTAACGATGATGGAAACAAACTGAGTATTCATTTAGTGAAAGTGACACTAGTGACAGTGAATTCAAAATAGTTGATTAGTGATGTCACACGCCTATGTGTTTATTTATATATATTTGGCAAAATATGGCAAAATATGGGAAGGTAGCCTACGTTAAAACTGGTTGTCCCAACATCATGACAGTAATGTACAAGATAAATAGTGCATGGTTATACAGCCATGCTTGGTGGTTTCTACGTTCTTGTAACCTTATGCGAACGCACTCCTATGCATTTTTCTATTTTCGACCAAGTTTCAGCAGACGTTTCGCATTTGGCGTCATTCAAGGGATTGACGATATATTAACAATAGGGTAAATGCTGCAGTGGAAAGCTCTCATCTCAAGCGCTGCAGAAGTGGACGAATGGTTACAGCGTTCAACTATACAATCTAGGAGGTGCTGGGTTCGATTTACAGTGTTTCCGAGTACATTTTTAAGACGTTGTCTGGCCTGAGACTATGTGGTCAGGCGGGTACTGTAGATGTAGATCCTAAACTAGTGGCTCACACCCACCATGGGGGATTGGCCAAGAATCGGGTAGCTTAAAAAATGTATATATTTAAATACTACCCAAAACAATATTAACAGAAATATTGATTTTTTGTAAATTATTCCTGTCAAAAGTTTGGATAAATTAGTTCCTACTGAAAGAACAATAAATGAT